AATGACCCAAATCAACAAAATCATGAATGAAAGAGGAGAAATCACAACCAACACCAAAGACATACAAGCAATTATAAGAACATATTATGAGCAACTTTATGCCAGCAAATTAGATAACCTGGAAGAAATGGGTACATTCCTAGAGATGTATCAACTACCAAAATTGAACCAGGAAGAAATAGAAAACCTGAACAGACCTATAACCAGTAAGGAAATTGAAGCAGTCATCAAAAATCTCCCAACAAACAAAAGCCCAGGGCCAGATAGCTTCCCAGGGGAATTCTATCAGACATTTCAAGAAGAATTAATACCTATTCTCCTGAAACTGTTCCAAAAAATAGAAATGGAAGGGAAACTTCCAAACTCATTTTATGAGGCCACCATTACCTTGATCCCCAAAACAGACAAAGACCCCATCAAAAAGGAGAATTACAGACCAATATCCTTGATGAACATGGATGCAAAAATTCCCACCAAAATATTAGCCAATAGGATCCAACAGTCCATTAAAAGGATTATTCACCATGACCAAGTGGGATTTATCCCTGGGCTGCAAGGTTGGTTCAACAACCGCAAATCAATCAACGTGATACAATACATTAACAAAAGAAAGAACAGGAATCATATGAAACTCTTAATAGATGCAGAGAAAGCATTTGACAAACTACAGCATCCTTTCTTGATCAAAACTCTTCAGAGTATAGCGATAGAGGGTACCTACCTCAATATCATAAAAGCCATCTATGAAAAACCTACAGCGAATATCATTCTCAACGGGGAAAAGCTGAGAGCTTTTCCCCTAAAGTCAGGAACGCGGCAGGGATGTCCACTCTCACCACTGCTATTCAACATAGTATTAGAAGTCCTAGCCACAGCAATAAGACAACAAAAAGAAATCAAAGGCATCCAGATCGGCAAAGAGGAAGTCAAACTCTCACTCTTTGCAGATGATATGATACTGTATGTGGAAAACCCAAAAGACTCCACCCCAAAACTGCTAGAACTCATACAGGAATTCAGTAAAGTAGCAGGATATAAAATCAGTGGCATTCCTATACACCAACAACAAGACAGAAGAGAGACAAATCAAGGAGTCGATCCCATTTACAATTGCACCCAAAACCATAAGATACCTAGGAATAAATTTCACCAAAGAGGCAAAGGATCTGTACTCAGAAAACTATAAAATACTCATGAAAGAAATGGAAGAAGACACAAAGAAATGGAAAAACGTTCCATGCTCATGGATTGGAAGAACAAACATTGTGAAGATGTCAATGCTACCTAGAGCAATCTACACATTCAAAGCAATCCCCATCAAAATACCATCCACTTTTTTCAAAGAAATGGAACAAATAATCCTAAAATTTGTATGGAACCAGAAGAGACCCCGAATAGCCAGAGGAATATATTGAAAAAGAAAAGCAAAGCTGGCGGCATCACAATTCCGGACTTCCAGCTCTATTACAAAGCTGTCATCATCAAGACAGTATGGTACTGGCACAAAAACAGACACATAGATCAATGGAACAGAATCGAGAGCCCAGAAATGGACCCTCAACTCTATGGTCAACTCATCTTTGACAAAGCAGGAAAGAATGTCCAATGGAATAAAGACAGTCTCTTCAACAAATGGTGTTGGGAAAATTGGACAGCCACATGCAGAAGAATGAAACTGGACCATTTCCTTACGCCACACACACAAATAGACTCCAAATGGTTGAAAGACCTAAACGTGAGACAGGAGTCCATCAAAATCCTAAAGGAGAACACAGGCAGCAACCTCTTCGACCTCAGCCACAGCAACTTCTTCCTAGAAACATCGCCAAAGGCAAGGGAAGCAAGGGCAAAAATGAACTATTGGGATTTCTTCAAGATAAACAGCTTTTGCACAGCAAAAGAAACAGTCCACAAAACCAAAAGACAACCGACAGAATGGGAGAAAATATTCGCAAATGACATATCAGATAAAGCGCTAGTATCCGAAGTGTATAAAGAACTTATCAAACTCAACACCCAAAGAACAAATAATCCAATCAAGAAATGGGCAGAAGACATGAACAGACATTTTTCCAAAGAAGACATCCAAATGGCCAACAGACACATGAAAAAGTGCTGAACATCGCTCGGCATCAGGGAAATCCAAATCAAAACCTCAGTGAGATACCACCTCACACCAGTCAGAATGGCTAAAATTAACAAGTCAGGAAACGACAGATGTTGGCGGGGATGCGGAGAAAGGGGAACCCTCCTACACTGTTGGTGGGAATGCGAGCTGGTGCAACCACTCTGGAAAACAGTATGGAGGTTCCTCAAACAGTTGAAAATAGAGCTACCATACGATCCAGCAATTGCACTACTGGGTATTTACCACAAAGATACAAATGTAGGGATCCGAAGGGGTACGTGCACCCCAATGTTTATAGCAGCAACGTCCACAATAGCCAAACTGTGGAAAGAGCCAAGATGTCCATCGACAGATGAATGGATAAAGAGGATGTGGTATATATACACAATGGAATATTATCCAGCCATCAAAAGGAATGAGATCTTGCCATTTGCAACGACGTGGATGGAACTGGAGGGTGTTATGCTGAGTGAAATGAGTCAATCAGAGAAAGACATGTATCATATGACCTCACTGATATGAGGAATTCTTAATCTCAGGAAACAAACTGAGGGTTGCTGGAGTGGTGGAGGGTGGGAGGGATGGGGTGGCTGGGTGATAGACATTGGGGAAGGTATGTGCTATGGTGAGCGCTGTGAATTGTGTAAGTCTGTTGAATCACAGATCTGTACTTCTGAAACAAATAATGCAACATATGTTAAGAAAAAATAAAAAGAAGAAGATAGCAGGAGGGGAAGAATGAAGGGGAGTAAGTCGGAGGGGGAGACGAACCATGAGAAATGATGGACCCTGAAAAACAAACTGAGGGTTCTAGAGGGGAGGGGGTGGGGGGATGGGTTAGCCTGGTGATGGGTATTAAAGAGGGCACATTCTGCGTGGAGCACTGGGTGTTATGCACAAACAATGAATCATGGAACACTACATCAAAAACTAATGATGTAATGTGGTGATTAACATAACAATAAAAAATTAAAAAAAACTAGTCAAGTGAATTTTTTGGTTTCCCAGTGCATGTAAAAGTTATGTTTAGGGGCACCTGACTGGCTCAATTGGTAGAGCGTGCGACTCTTGATCTCAGGGGTGTAAGTTCAAGTCCCGAGCTGGGTGTAGAGATTACTTAAAAAAAAAAAAAGTTATGTTTACACTATACTGTAGTATATTAAGCATGCAATAGCATTATATCTAAAAAAACTTCTATGTATATGCCTTAATTAAAAATAACACCTGATAGTAAAAATTGCCAACTGTCATCTGAGGTTTCAGTGAGTCATAATTGCTTATCACAGATCACCCTAACATATAGAATAATGAAAAAGTTTGAACTCTTGCAAGAATGACCAAAGTGTGACAGAGACACAAAATGAGCGAATACTGTTGGAAAAATAGCGCCCACTGACTCGTCTACACAGGGTTACCGCAAACCTTCAATCTGTAAAAACAAACAAACAAAACAAAAAACCCCTGCAGCATCTGTGAAGCACACGGAAGCGAAGTGCAACGAAACGAGGTATGCCTGAGCTCTCGGGATGGTCCTTCATAGGTCTTTTTCAATCTCTAGGCATCTCTGGTATAAAGGAGTTAATGAATCAACAAACGTTTAGCGTAGAGCCCAGGCTCTTTAAGGTACCCTTGGAGAAACGTTTTTTGTTTGTTTGTTCTAAAGATTTTGTTTATTTATTTGAGAAAGAGAGAGCACATGAGAGGGGGGAGGGTCAGAGGGAGAAGCAGACTCCCTGCTGAGCAGGGAGCCTGATGCGGGACTCGATCCCAGGACTCCAGGATCATGACCTGAGCTGGAGGCAGTCGCTTAACCAACTGAGCTACCCAGGCGCCCCATCAGAGAAACATTTTTAAAACGCATTAAAAATGATAATAATTATAATAGCCTAGGCTTGTATAAGCCTTCACAGTTTAAAAACTGCTTTGGTGTTTTGAACCAAATCTTGTCACCCCCGAAAACTTGTGAAGCAGGCAGGTATCAATGTTCGTACTGACACAAAATGAAACAGATTCAGATCGTTCTCCTGACTTGCACAAAGCTGTAGAGCTAGGAGATGGCAGGCCTGGGACTCCATTTCCTGCTCTTTTACCTGCTTACTTTGGTTGGTCCAGTTTCTCAGTATAGGTGTTTATCCTTCTTGCACTGTGCTATAAATCTCTAGATTCAACTTTCCGATTGAAAGTGCTCAAGTAATGATGGGCCTACTCTGCTACTTTATTTTTTAAGATTTTATTTAGTTATTTGACAGAGAGAGACGGAACACAAGCAGGGGGAGTGGGAGAGGGAGAAGCAGACTCCCCACCAAGCAGGGAGCCCGACGTGGGGCTTGATCCCAGGATGCTGGGATCATGACCTGAGCTGAAGGCAGACGCTTAACCGACTGAGCCACCCAGGTGCCCCTCTGCTACTTTAAAGGTCAGGACAGGGCCCACTCAGAGAACAAGAAGTACAGCCTCACCTGGTGTTCCTAAGCGGGCCTGAGCAATGGTCAATTTTTCATGGGGTGCTTGGCACTGGCAGCTGGTTTCATCGGCAAATGGGGCAGGTGCAGTCAGGGTCTAGAAGGGAAAAAGAGAAAGGGAATATAGTCTGACAAACTTTCCTTTGGCATTATCTTCCCCTGAAGGCTTGGTTCTTTGGTGAAGAAGCAGAATATAGCCACTGAGTCTTTCAGAAAAATATTATACCATTAGAGATAAAAACAGGGACTTTGTCACTGAAACCTTTTTTTTTTTTTTTTTTTTGACTGATGCTGAGAAATCATGAGAGTGCTGCACTCTCTACTATATGCCAGGTACCAAAGGAGGTACTCTTGACAGGTTCTCTCTTCTTGGTCCTGCAACAGCCTAGGATGGCTACATTCTCCTATCCTTCCATAATATAGGAGAATACCATCTCTACTTCACAGAAAAGGCAACTGAGGCCCCGCAGGATGATGAAATATGCTAAGTCATGCCCTTGGAAAGTCACAGTGCTCGGCTTTGACATTTCACAACCACCCAGGGCAGACCGCAAGGCTTTAGACTTACCCACAGCCCGGGGTACTCGGCGGGAAGAAATGCCATACTCAGAAGTGTGGCAGACATCGCCCGTATTTCACACACACCAGCCCGGCCAATCACAAACTCAGATGTCACTTCAGTGCAAGGGCCAAAGCCGTTATCCGTGCCCCAGGAGGGCCTAGGGCCCAGCCTTTCTGGCGGGCTGCAGATAACTGCTCCTGCGGTAGCTCCAACCGCCACGGCCACGGCCACAGCCACGGCCACGGCCACAGCCAGCTGGAGGCCCCGCCCCAGGCAGCCTGGGTTGGGGCTCTGGGGAGCGCTGGGAGAGAGATGTAGTCACTTGGAAGACTGCCCAGGAAGTGGCTCTGCAGCTTTTAGTCAGCCTCTTAAAATGAAAACCTCACTCTCTCCAGAGGAAGACAAAGGGAGCGGTGTTTTTGTAAACAGGGCAAGTGCAGTCCAGGGTTGTCCGTGTGTCGTCTCGGAACTCTGGCATTATCGTGGGCATCACTCCATCAGCTCCGGTACTGTTGAAGCTGAAGGTGACTAGTCACTGTCCACAGTACTCATAGTGCTGCATGTATTGTTGCTCAGAGACAGACACAGGTGTTCCTTAACTGGGGAAGACGACTGAAGAATGATGCACACGTTTGAAGAGGGGCCGTGACCCACTTCTGCCAGTCATTAGCCACTCACTCATTCATCAATCATTCATTCACTCATTCGACTGTATGTCAGGCGCGGTCTTAGAACTGGAGCTAGCAAGTAGGGGGAAGACCAGTTCCAGTCGTGGAAGAGCCCGGGGCCCTTCTGCACTGCCAAGAAGCTATCCTTGCCCCACCCCCACCCCCCTCCCCATTGTAGCACCTTCCTCCTGGAAGCTGGAGTCCTTCCCCAGACTGGTTTGGAGACTTTCCAGTTGCCTGAGACTTTCTTAACCCCCACCTTCCTGTTCAGAGCTCTGAAAGTAAACCAAGACTGGGGACATTGGTTCAGGACATGGGTCCATTGTTGGTCCTTTTCCAGATCCAGTAAGGTGACCTCGTGGGCCACGGTGGGTCAGAGCAGCATTTGTAATATAGCCAAGGGGTGCAGTGACAGGAACAGAGACTGTTCCCACAGACCGCGGTTCAAATCCCCTTACCAGTACTTACGGGCTGTGTGTTCTAATTTGATTCTTCTGACCGAAAAGAACCAACTCTCCTTCAAGACAGCTCAAGAGATGAAGGATTATTTTAAGTCTCCCCCAGCATAGAAATTGTGGGGGGGGGGCGAGTAGGAAAGGTGCAGAGTCTGGCTCCAGGGTGCGGAGCACCTGGCTGCTCCCTGCACGTGACTCTCTCTGTCCCACTCCCATTTCCCCTATACCCATCCACTACACTCAAGTCTCTGCAGGCCTCTACTCCCCTATACCCAGCAGCTCACATGTGACAACTGGCCTCCCTTCCTAACATTCACTCATCAACTTCTCAGTCTTTCTGCCTCAGCTCCAACCAACTTACTGCTTCTTTCCATGTTTCCCCACTCAGATTCCTAAGGGAGAATCAAACTGGTGGAGCTCATCTTTTCAAAGCAGGACACAACCAGAATAGGCTGGCATCGAATCAGACACCCACATGGGGCCCAAAGGCTGTGGCTGGTAAAGGGACAAGGAATGGCGAGGGAGGCCACGGGTGGCCTGTCTTTGCCCCTTTAGCAGGTGCTGTCTTCAGGACAAGAAATATGTTTGACTTTGTGTAATTTTAAGAGGGGCGCCTGGGTGGCCGGCTCTTGATTTTGGCTCATGTCATGATCTCATGGGTCATGGGATCGAGCCCCACCTCAGGTTCCCTGCTTAGCAGGGAGTCTGCTTGGAGATTCTCTCTCTCTGCCCCAACTCACATTCTTTCATTCTCTCTCTCTCTCAAATAAATAAATCTTAAAAATAATAAGGGGCACCTGGGTAGCTCAGTCCATTGAGTATCCAACTCTTAATTTCAGCTCAGGTCATGATCTCAGGGTTGTGAGACTGAGCCCCACATTGGGCTCCCCACTTAGCGGGGAGTCTGCTTGAGATTCTCTCTCTCCCTCTTCCTCCGCCCCCCCCACCAAAAAATAAATCAATCAATCTTTATAAATAAATAAATGGATGGATGGATGGATAGATGTTCCTTAGTTGAAGTTCAGTTCCATCTGTAAAATGGGTACCTATCTCATAGGGTTGTTGTAAAACAAAGAAATAATGTGTATAAAGTACCTGGTAATCAATTGTGGCAATTATCATTTCTGTTAGTATTTATTATTATATATCATAATATATAATACTATATATTATAATAATAGATAATGTAGTTCCCCCTAGAAACAAAGCAAACTGACTCATGAGTGAACTTTTAGGACACAACCTAAATAGGTAAATGGATTGGCAAATGGGGTTAGCTTTGATTAATGATTCATTAACCTTTAATATACATGGACAATGAATCTTTTTCACATGATCTAAAATAAATTACTAGTGGGAGATCTTTTATGTGCTAGGTGCAAAGTTTATTGAAAAGATAAGGTGTTGCCATTTTCCAAGAAAGGTGTGTTCTAGAGGGTGTGAAATCTGGTAAGTAAAGCAGAGACAGAGAAAGTTGTAAAGTAACGGTAGTTACTCAAAGGTAAAGAAAAAGGTTTATATGTACTCTGTATTTTTTCTTAATTATTGTGGCCCAGAAGTAGGAAAAAGAAAGAAGCAAAGAGACTGAAGGTAGACAGAGTTCATAAATGAGCTATGTGTGCATGTGTACACGTATGTCCTTGTGAGCATGTGATCATATTTAACAGCAGCTGACAGGGAGAAGGGCTATTTCTTGGTATGTACAAGGCAGTGTGCTTGGAATGGGGAGAATGCAAATATTATGAATGAGCCACAGACTTGTTGTGAACATTGCCAGAACATTGCCTTCCAAAATGAGGCAGATTACCCCCTCAGTTGAGAGTCAGGTTCTACATTCAGCAAGACCTTGGTTAAGGCCCAGCCACCAACAACCAGCCCTGTGACTTCAGCCAACATTTTTTCAGTCCAAACACCCCAGAATTCCTTCTCTGAGCCAGAACAAATCATCTGATTTACAAGGAATCTGAAGCTACTCAGATGCTGTCTCCTCCACCTACAAGGGGCAAACCAACCGTAGGAAAATAAGAGTAAGATAACCAGAGGCTCCAGGGAGAGGCAGGGACTGGTCCAACCTGGACTCCAAGCTATCTATAAATCTATCTACCCACCTATACCAGCCTGCTGAGGACCCAGGCCCCCATCTCTTCCTTACCATTTGCCAGAGCTGGGATGGTTCCAGGGATCCTCTGGGTCTAATCCCTAAGACAGACATAAAACTGAGGCTCAATAATGTAATATAATAGCTAAATCTTTGAGTTCCTATATAGTGCCATGCAACCATCTACACACTAAGCACTTTAAATGTATTAGCTCATTAGCTTTTCCAACTCTAAGATAGATGCTATCTCCACTGGACTCTACAGAACCTGTCTTCAACAGAGACACCAAAATGGCAACACGAAGTAACATCAGTGTTACATCCCTCAGACTCAGTTACCTTTCTGGCTCCCTTTGAACTGAGGAAACTCTCAGGATTCTTAGACAATTAGGATAGAGGGGCCTCACAAAGGAGACAATGGACTTCTGGTAATTAGCGAAGGGGGGGTGCAAACGATTAATTGAAAAAACCAAAGGACGGGACCATATGTTTCACCCAGATGTGGTGTAGTAGGTCAGATGACTGACATATCATTAGTTACTGGCCAGCCATAGCTCAGACCCCACATCAGCCAGATCACATTGTTGAATGTTTCCTAACATCTGCTATGTGTTTCATATGATGCTAGATGTTTGGAGGGTGCATAAGTAGGAGAAAAATAAAAGAAGGAACAGAATTAGCTCTGGGACAGCAATCCTCAAAGGTGAAGGGTGGCCTTTTTAGAATGGGAGGAGGTAGGAGTTTGAAAAGGCATATTCAATTTTCAGTAATTTCATACCTGGAAAAAAACCCTACCTTTTTAACATACAAATCATAGAAATTAAGCCTCTGAACTGGTAGAGATCATCAGAGGATAGACTATGCCCCTCCCCATGTAGCCATATTCTAAATTCAGGGTTGGGGAGTCACATGAAATTTTTATGTTTAGCAGCAAAGACAAAGGATTTTAAAGGGTTAAGAAGCCCTGGCCCCCTGCCCTGAACCTCATATGTGCAAGGACCTTGCCAGACCGCAGACTGGGGAGCTCTAGTGCAATTAAACTTCTTACTACCTGATTTAGGGTTTCAGAACACCCAGTCACCGCATGTGAGTATGTTGCCTATTTATCATATAGGTTCTGGTAATGTCAACTGTAGGGTATCATACCAAAGCCATATTCCCATCATGCTTTTTTTAAAAAGATTTATTTATTTGAGAGAGAGTGAGTGAGGGTGAGTGGGGGGAGGGGCAGAGGAAGAGAGAATCTCAAGCAGACTCCCCACTGAGCACAGAGCCTGATGCAGGGCATGGTCCCAGGCCCCCAAGATCATGACC